TTACTTTTTAAATCCGTTATATAATATCTTCAGGATTATATTGTATATCAATATTTTACAATTTTCAGGTTCACGGATTAAAATTGTCAGGAAAAAGGATTATTGAAACATGTCACCTATGCGTAACCCAGTTTACATGAAAAAAAGACAGAATACTTGTATAAGAATAGTAAATAATAATAACAGTAATAAAATTAACGTAATAATTGCTGTGACAAAATAAAACTTCAACACAATATCATATGAATTATCTATAAAGTTATATAAGAGATATGACAAAAATTTGACTTGATTTTAGTATGTATTTTTAGAGTTTAGTTTCATGGTTTTAAGACAATAAATTATGATATATAGGGTCTCTCATGCATTGCCAAATAATATATATATAATCTATCTAATTATGTCAAGATATTGTTTAAAAAAATTAGATGAAGGGTGATTCTTCTGAAGCATTTGTCACAACCAACAAAATGACAAAATCATATGGTTTTTTTTATCTTAATTAATAATAACTTAACAGCTCTGGGTTAAAAAGCCAACCTAGACGTGTCGGATGATATATTTGTTTTCGATTATAATTTCATATTTCATAACTCGATATAACCTTAGAGTAGCTGGCTACTAGAAATATTTTTTATCAAAATATAGAGAAGATGTTTTTTTTTTTAAATTATCAAGTTGTTGTTTATTTAGAGTAAAAACATACCTTAACGTTAAATAATAATCAAGAAGCCTGTCCTGTTTATTCCTTTATTCATTTTAAATTTATTACAGTTACTGTAATCAAATTTATACGTGATCCTATGATTTTTGAAAAATGATTCTAAAGTATGTTAAAATATATCTAATCTGGCCGGGGTATAAATCACATGATACATGTACATTTATACCGTCATGTAACAAGCTGATGAACAAGTAGATAAACTAAAAATTTAGAAATTATTTTTTCGTTCTTTACAGAACAATAAATTCAGAGAAAGTTAGATGTTTAACAACCGAAGGAAGTAGCCCAGAACATGAAGTATTGTGTCGTAAAGGTAGCATAATGTAAAAAGGAGTATTTTGACTTCCATACAAAGTACTTATTCACTATGATAATATCGATTGCCAACATGCCTATAGTTGCAAAAGATAGTCCATGTATATGTCAAATGAGTATTACTTTGAATACTGTAACAATAAATTAAGCATTAAAAACATTTTGAGTTAAAATAGGTAGCTAGTATTTCTGAGACATGACGAGCCTTCAAGTATATTAAATTTGACATACAATTTTTGTTAAAATTAGATTAATTCTATATGCTTCAACTAGTCATTTTATAACTCTTGCACCTGCAAATCAAGACAAAATTTGTAAATTTCAAACGTTTCATTTCTTAAGCAAAAGCAAACATATTGACTAAAGTAATTTTTATTTTATAGCATGTTATATTAAAAACAGAATTCCATAAAACTCGTACACATAGCATTTAATTCAGGTTAAGGCTAATACTATATAGTCCCCGCTATATGCAATCACTTTTCGTCCTTATCGCCAGTCTTTTGATAAGGACCTTGATATCAATAGTCAGAATACATAGAAGTATGCGGTATTTCGGTCTTACCTACCTAAGAAACTAAACAAATAGTAGGTAACTGCTCGGAATTGCTGTCTAAGTTAACAACCATATCATAACATATCTACTTATCATTAGAAATCATTGGACTGACAGATTATTTTCTTTACGTGTAATCAATTGTCTAATATTTGGTACCAAAATTTGGAAATTTAGTGGAAAAAGTGAGTCATAATGAAGTTCACATTTGGATTGAGTGCTACCCTGCCTTGGCGATGTTTATTGTCATATTGAATTAGCCAATCCTCCTCGTCCTTGTCCGGTTCTTGAATTTTAGACAGACCTTAACTGAGTTAAATACATGTATATATTCTCCTTCGATGATGTTCTATCAAATGTCTTTTAGCGGCTTTCTTGTTGAAACATTTAGAGTTTTAACGAAAAAGCTGTTATATTAATTCTTGAGAGATTTAAATAATATATATCATTTTGTTTTCGTTTTGAGCAAAGTATTAGATTTTTATCGGAAATACATTTTCCACTATATTAACGGAACAGTATATGCCTTTTTTAGCCTTTAAGATATTATCATTTGTCTTGAGGCGTTCATATAACAGCATTTTATTGACATTCTACTGTAGACGTTGTTAAAATTCAGTACAATTTTTTAAATGTTTTAATCAGAAAACCACTAAAAAGCGTTTCGAAGGAGAATTCTTAAAAACGCAAGGTCCATAGAAATTAAAATGGAAGATTTCCAATGTTCAAAACGGATATAAAAGTCATGAAGAAATTGAACCGATAATCTAAATAATCTAGTAGCGTGGCGAGATAAGTCTATATTTAATTCTACATTTTATCTGCATGTACCTAGCTCGGGTTAGACCATGGTAACTGTCGCTGATACATAAATAGGACGAGGACTAAAATATAAATAATATTCTAACACACTTCACACTATTCCCCCATCAAATAGCTGCAGATAGGGCAATCAAGTTCATTATTACAAATATGCACACCATAAACAACGAATGCCTACCAATTAACCAAAATGACGTCATGAAAACTACTTATACGCTCAATGTTGTTCAACACATTTTTATCAGTTGTTTTTAATGTTCATGTTAGAATGGAAATAGATATCATGTTTTTCTTGCATTTAATAATAATGCACGGTTTATCGTTCACATGCTTTGTAATTAATGACTCAGGCCTAACTGCCATCGTGATTATATTTCTGTGCATTTGATTTTGAACCGTGCATTATTCTACAAAAATGCACTCAAAATTGATGTATGTTTCCTAACTGTACTACTCCGACGGTTACAAATATGAATGGCAAAATTATATTGCTCAATAACAAAGAAAAAATAATGTTTTAAAGTGTTTATTCATTAGAAAGTATTTACACCAGTCTGTAAAAAGCGTAACACAAAAAAGCAAACACAATTCAAGACAAGTAGTTTCCTTTTACCAACGCATTCTTAGAATACATTTAAGTACATATAAGTTTGTGTGACAAATTACCATAACTCCCAAATGTCCTTTTAAAGAATGATGATCCTGGTTACACTGCTAAATTTCCCTTACACTCTTAAACATGGATGTTTTTCATGAAAAACAAATGAAACAATTTTTAAAAAGATTCATTTCATTACACTGATGAAAAAACGGGCATAACTGAAATTAATTTGATAAAATGCTAGCAAATGTAACGTACACCGAGCGAATGCCTAATCAGATATTTCTAAAGTCTAGTTATCTACAAAAGTTCAACAAATATATATATATATATATTATATATATATATATATATAAAATCATAAAAAACATATAAAAAACAGAAACATGAACTGATTAACAACTTGAATCATTTTGTGTACATGGAAATACGTTTACGGTTAACGCACGTTTTTCCGTGTTATAACGTCTGCATTGTCCCGAGGAACGGTTGGTGCCCGAGCCCGGTAGGGCGAGGGCTCCAACAGTTCCGAGGGACTCTGCAGACGTTATAAACGTGATTTGACGCTATTATAGCATAAATTTTAAACAGATTTAATACAAAACACATACATTAAATCCTTGTGCTTGGACGGTATTTATCCAATTCTACATGTTTTACGTATGCGTTTTATTTTTCCGGGGCCAACAACTTGGGAAATACAAATGCTTAGAACCGAACGAAATTTCGAATTTTAAATGATTTAACAAGGCTTAACATCGAGATATACTAACTCAAGAAAAAAAACCATTAAATTACTCTACCAAAGACAAAACATAAACCTCAGAAATGCCTAGAATTATTCAGATTGACGGTAGAAAAAAGATCAACGAGTGAGTGTCATCAGAATCGTTTTTTCAAGCACACAAGTTTATCAAAAAATCAGGCACTAAACATTATTCTCTCAAAGAAATATAAAGAGCATTTATCAATATAAACATGAATAAAACAACATTTTCTCATAATCAATTTGTGTTATCTTGTTTTTTAAGTTAATTAAAGGGTTAAACTGAATGACAGAAATGTATTTACATTACCTTTACATTAGAAAGGGCGACAACCAAGATTATAGCATAAAATCGGCTATTTTTCACTCTTTTGCCCATGTTATAACGGGAGTCTGATTGCAATTTTAAAGAAACACCCGACGTAGCTCACAACGATGACATGTATTTAATCTTAACAAAAAGATGTATTAAGGAGTCATCTCATTGAGTACGCACCTGCTTCCCTTGTTAATTTGATGCACTTTTCGTTAATAAAAAATATGATAAAATAATGGGTCGCGTAAGATCAAAGATGTAATCAAAGTACCAGTACAAATACTTTTTAAAATTTTACAATCTAAAAATTGGCGATGTAGATTAACCCTTGTTCGTCCGTACTTCCGTCCGTCCGTTTCCATGTTGTGTTCGCACAAAGCTCAAAAAGTAATTTGACCTAGAGTCATGACACATTACAGGAAATGTTGGTCAGCATAGTTTAGCTGTGCACCTGCGTGTTGGTGTGTGAATTTAATCAGAATTTGTAGAGAGTTATTATCCCGACTTAGGTTTTTTGTTTTCAATTTTCAACTTGTGTCACGGAAAAGAACTCTTTATTTAAATGACACTTTTACGGGAAAATTGTTAAAAAAAGAAATGTGAGGGTTTGAAACCTTTTGTTTTGTTTTGGAGAAAACTCGCTTTTTTCCAGAGTTTTTTTCCCCTTGACTAAGGAAAAAATTTTTCCTTTTTTTGAATTCTGTCCATGTAGCTCAAAAAGTATTTGCCCTAGAGAAATAAAAACCTTTATAGGAATGTAAAGAAAAACATTTTGGAAAAATGATATTCAGAACTTTCCCAGCTTTTTTTCTGAAATATAGGGATTTATCTTCCTACCCCAACCCGAATAATCTTCTTTTTCCCTTTGCAATTCCCCCCGCAGCATGATGTTAAAATATTTTAACATTTTTCACACTTTACATCAACTGTTTCAGCCATCTCCTGCAACATTTCACCAGCGTTTGTTTTATCCCCTTTGCGTTTATTATGTGCTGCTTCTGCTAGAAATGCAACATCGGCCACTATGGAAACAGGTCCAAGAACTGATGCTGCTATAGTTGCGGCTGTTGTCCCTACCCGAACTGCTGCAATAATTATACCGGCTACACCCTTACCAGCTCGTAAAGCTGATCCAATAGCAAGAAAACCGCGTCTGCTTATTCCGGGACATTCAGCGTCCGTAGTGCTAGAATTTGCAATCTCTGTTGTGAAATACTCATCAACCTTTTTAAGCATTGAAGCTACTCTCTGTTCCTTTGACTGAAAAACTTCTTGTTCCGCCTTGATGTCAGTAATTTTAGAGTTCTGTTTCACAGCTTCATGTGTCCTTACACCTGCTGCTGTACCCCCAGTAACAACACCAACAGCCGCTCCAGCGAAACTTACAACTAACGATGCACCAAAACTAATGGGAGTAAGTATGATTCCTAAAATGATCAAACCCCCAGATCCAATGCCGGCTGCCGAGGTTTGTATGACCCTTTTGTTTACATTTTTTCTTCTTTCATCCAGCTCTTGGCCCCCGGCTCTGCAAGAATCCACAAAAGCCGACACGCAAATACTTCTTTCACGTATTGCATTATCCAGCGCCCTCAAAGCATCAAACTTTGCAAGGAAGTCACATGATCGAACTGTAATAAAACATTTGTTGTTATATTAAGAAATCTATTTTCATCCATAATATCTTAAAAAGCAAACAAATATGATATGCAATAAAATAAATTTACATATAAGAGTTGTGCTTTTGTTGGCAATTTTTCATAATAATTGTCCGGCATTTGCTTTGCCTGCTCTGTAATTGTTATCATAAAGTTGGTGCTTCCTTTGCACATATGCGATTAAGAAAGTCCAATAGACGTAAGCTATAACAGTTATAACTGTTGATCATAGTTGTGCTAAGTAGGATATTTCACTTCTGCATTAGGTAAGGAAACAAAGAAAGCTGTTTCCCCTTTGCATAAAAAACGCCATATAGTATTTGTAACTCCTGTTCGTTTCATGTTATATTACTTTATAAAGCCCTTTTTTATCCACTCGCAGAATGTACCTAGAGTATATTACATTGATGTCTTTCATTTCATGTTTTTTACGTTCCCGCAATTCCATGATAAGTGGCGAATAATTCTCAAATGAAAGAGCAATTGGCGGAATTCAACTTAATGAAACTTTTGAGGGGTCAAATGTCATGAAATACAGAATAAAATGAAACCTCTAAAAACGCCAAAAGGGCGGGCCGGGTTGACCGAGTTTGTTCAATGTGTTAGTTGAAAATGAAGCTTTTAAATTAAGTGCCCCGGCACTTAAATAACAACTGAAATTTTAAAAAAGGGGTGAAATTTTTCCAATTTTTACAACACCTGAGATATGGTACATACAGCGGGTAATCAGGGAAATTTCAACCCTTTTAAAGGCGTTATTTTTTTTTTTGAATTTAAAACCTTGAAAACAGGTTTCCCCCGAACTCACCGAATACTTTCCCAAATTTCCCAAATGTAAAGGCTCAAGAAATTCCTCTTTCCCCGGAAATTGGGTATTTTAAAATCTGTAAGGGAAATTTTTAAAAGAAAAAATAAATTTTTTAAAAAATATTGATTTTTGTTTTGAAAACTTTAAACAAGTCTAACTGACAATTTTTATTATCAAAATTAAAACAGATTTATGAGTATTGGTTCATTAGCTCAGAATTGCAAGAACGTCACCTTCGAAAAACCACAAGCTATGTTTTGGAAATTGCAAAATCAGTGTGAAAATATTTAGGGTGCACCCTGCCCATTTCATTTTTTTGGGGTTAAATCTTACATATACCTGTTTAAATTAAATTGTTTTTTCCAGATATGCTTTTCTTTGGTTTTGTGTCTTTTCGTTTAAAAATAATGAGTGTTTTTACCACTTTTAAAGTAAAAGATGAACCTGATGAAAACATATTTGTTATTCTATGTAACTCATATAAAACATTATATAGTCGTAAATCGTCTACTCAACATTTTTCAAACAAGATGGTAAACTTTTATTATTTTAAGTGTGCCAAGACAATAATAAAGTTATATACATTGTATTATAAACTTTAAGTTTTAAATGACGTCTGAAACATGGCCAGTTATACATATAATACCTTACCAAATTTGGAGGCTATTCGTTGCCAAAAATACAGCCTTTGAAATTTGACAATGCATAGTTGGATTTTACTAAACAGATAAGTAAGAAAATATAACTGTCGATCCGAGAGTTACATACTGCACTGGTATTAGGCGTTTTGATTATCTCGATTTGATAAAAAAAGAAGCTGTTAACATGCAACTTAGAAAAATTGAAATGTATAACTTCAAATTTGCGACATGTAGAAATGTTGACGATAGAACGTACACAACATGTTTTATCATGACGTTGAGTGTGTAAGTGCATCAGTTAACACTCTCAGGTCGACAACACCACACTTTCCTTTTACATTCTAACACAATTAACGTTTGTAAACGATTTTGCAACTTCCATATATGGCATTATCATGGAAATAGACGGAGCCAATTTTTACGAGAGCAGAAAATAAAGAGAGGCAACTCTTACTGTTAACAAAAATATATCAATTAAATAAAACTGTTATATATGTCAAATACATCAACTACATTACAGTTGAATTTGAATATTCTCTGATTTTCTTAAAACGTATTCTGTAGCACAGGATATACAAGTAATGCAAAAGTGGTTAGGATATATTATATCAATGTAACAACGTTGGTAGAACGTCATTATACTGATGAGCATAATGATATGCCAAAAAGTTGGTGAATTACCATAAGGGAATGTTTCCCATATATAAGGACACAAACCACGTCTAATTGTAGACTAGTTGTTTTAGACGTCACAATGGTATATATATGAAGTATATATATTAGAAGTATACGTACTCATTTATTTTGCATTAAGCAGTCAGTACTAGAATGCGATGCTGGAACAGTTAGCATGTGCCTTCTTTCTTTGAAGGACTTAATTTGGTGGAAGAAAAAACAACAACAAAGTTTTGACCAAGTAAACAACGGATCCGGAACTATACAAAGTTTACTATTGATAATTTCGTTGTATAATCCAAATATTGTGGGTTGATCCCATTTTAATGTTGAAATAAATATTAAGTGTATCCGAGCATCTATGTGTACCTCCATTGGGGGGTATTTTGAGTCATAGAATGTGAATTAAACATATGTAAACTGGCGTAGGTTAAGGTCTTCAGTAGGTTATGGTCTTCAGCGAACTCCTTTTTATGCATTTCACTAAATCAATGCCAGTTCTAAAATCTGTATATACGAGGGGTTATCCAAAAATTCGTGGACTTTTTAAATATCTCTTGAACGTCAACGTGTATTGTAATACAATTTTATCAGCATACATTGTAGAATATTATCAACACATTTCGAAAGGAACAGTTAATTGTGTCAATAAATAATGATTTTATATTGCTTTTAAATAAGCACATACACTGCACCCGGCGCACGGTAGAAAAGCGCAGTAAGTCATCGTATATTTCTTGCTAAAAAACTAAAAAATAACGTAGAAAATCCGCTCAACATCGCATGTTTCTTCTATGATGTCATTTAAGTAATTCTTTAAAATAATGGACGTCAATTCCGTTTATTTTTGTTGATATCGCTAGAAACGCCTGACGCCTTAATTGTTAACAACGGGAAAATGACGGACACGCGGTAATAAGAAAACCGCACGATCATAAACAAACATAATTTTTTGTTGTAATTTGGAAATGACACCTACAAAAACATTTAATCAATATCAGCAGACGAATAGACAAAAGAAAATTTCACGATAATTAGTGTTAAAGTGGCACAAAAAATTTAGTGATGGACATTACTTTGAGAAGCAGTAACCGTCATTGACTGCGTAACGTTGTGACACAAGTTGTACGTTAATATTATGACGTTGACGTCACTAATTTTTGGAAGTGCACCGCTGTCGCCAACATGTGTTTATGTAAAATTAACTATTGTTGTAATGTAAGAAGCTACTCAAATGAATTTATTGAGTTTATTTGTTATTTATTCTTCTAAGCAGTAGGAATTTCAAATTAATATCTCAAATATAATTTACGCAACAGAGAAAGTCCACGAATTTTTGGATAACCCCTCGTACATGCTGTCAAAAGTTGTTACCTAGACTTGCTGTCTTTCTTATCAAAAGCAGAGAACTATTTTTATGTACAAGAACTACTACACTGAATATTTACCAAGTTTTGTTAGTGATGGCTTTCTTAGAGATAAAATAAACAAGGTATACATAAATTGATAATCACCATAATTACCTTTGGACTCATTGAAATATTACTGTTGAAAAAATATGGTTAAATAGGAAAATATATCTATACAGTATGGTAAAAATAAAAAGTTATGTACGAATGGGTACATGCAACTCTGAATTTAATTTTACTATTGTTAAAAGATTTTCCTTGTCAAGCTAAAATGCTTTTAAAATCCAAATTTGAATACGGCAAAAACTGCCAATTTCGAATTTGTCGATGGAGTAAAACGGCGATTATCTTGATGTTTATTTCGCCTTTTGATTTGTTTATATTGATGTTGAACGTTTAAAATTTACCATCATCGTGGAATAATATCTGTTTCTATGGACAAAATATATACATAAGCACAGAAATTCAGAAAGGATATTTGTGCATTTCCTATCGAGATGACCAGTTTTTAAAGACTTAAAAGCAATACTTTTAAGCAATGTAAACGTTTTTGCTTCAATTATTATAGAAATATATCACAATTCTTAGTTTTTAAATCTGTTTTATGCAATTGTATGTTAAGGTATTGCATGACAATTTTCTTCTTATTTCCGAACTTCGTATGTTAATGGAAAACTTGTTATCATTAGAGTTTATATGCGCAGTGACACAATGCTGGTTTATTGGTTTTACGAAAATTTGCAAGTCTTCAATAAAAACATAAATATATAAAACATTAACATTCACCAGCTTTACACTTCAGGACCAATTCAAAATTTCTTGCTTTGTTGCAAAACATTTTTATTAACATTTTCCTCAAATGGAAAGACAATATTTCTCATCTCCGTACTGTGCAACTAGCTGTAGTTTACCGAGATTAAATATCGTGGATTCGGGCTAAAATTAAATCATGCGTAAACACGTTTTATTTATAAAGAGCAAAGGTTAACTAAAGGGAAACTGTTCCACATGAGACAAAACGCTTTGTTTTTGTGTTGCATTGTAATAAAACATAACAGCAATTTTTTGGTTATTCTAAAAGTGTTCAGTGCACAGCTGACCATTCCTTCGCCACCATTTTACGCGTGTAAACTCCTAATTAGGCTTTATTTATGTCTCCTAAGTAGGACTCAAAAGCAAATCTTTCGTGGGTGTAATAAACTTCTTATTAGTTTTTTTTCCTATAAGTTATTCTTTTTAGCTCGACTATTCAAAATAAAAATGAGCTATTCTTCACACCGGAGCGTCGGCGGAACGCTTTAGTTCAATTTTTGCTTTCAACGTTTTATTTCATCAACCACTAAAGATATTTGCTTGTTACTTCATATACTGATGTAAAGACATATGTTCCTTGTTGTCACCAATAGAAATCAGTCCATACCTATCTAAATAGCAAAGACACTTAATTCAAAAATATCAGAAAATCCCACTATTCGATTAGTCTTTGTGCCACAACCGCGTTTTGCATTTTTTTTGCCTAAAATTGCAACAATTGTTCCCTGCGTGATAATAACTTTGGATCTTTTACATCCGAAGCTAACATGTTACTAAATGTTAACAGGCTTCCAATATAGTATTTGTCTGAAGTAAACCAAATATTATTTTTAATTCAGAATTTCCAATACGGTTTATAGCGAAAATAACAGGATTCACTGTCCTGGTATGGATTTTGACTAAATTATGGTACTTTTTCAACTTAAAAATTCATGGGGCAACATCAATCTTCAAATCTACCAAAGATATTCACATGCAAGTTTATACATGTCGTGGATATTATAATTGGTGGTCATTCTCTAGGGCCAATAACTCTAGCATGGATTTTGTCAGAATTATGACCCTTTTTGAACTTGTTGTTTTGCATGCAAAAACAATTTGCAAATGTAATGGTGGTACTTTAACATGAAACTTAATACACATCTGGGGATCATAATTGGAGGTCTTTTTCCAAGGTCCTTAATTGAAGTATGGATTTTGACAGAATAATAAATCTCTTCGTACTTAGAAGATTATTGGTAAACATTTAGCATGCAGCATCAATCACTTCTGGATCATAACCAGAGGTCAGTATTGAAGCATGAATTGTGCATGAATTTTGACAGAATTATGAATCTATTTGAATTTTGAAAATTCTTTGTTGAAGTGTTGTGTGTAAAATTATTCTTCTAAACAACAACACGTGTTAACTTAATACATGTGTGTGGGATTATAATTGAAGGTCACTATCCATAGCCAAATAGCCAAATCCTCCTGGATTTTAAGTGAATTATGGCCTTATTAAACTTTGAAAATTCTTAGCTAAAAAGTTTGTGCAACATCTTACTTTTTTCTCTGCTTTTGTATTTATGTAAATCTTCCTCTTTGTAATTCTTAAATGACCCAGGATTTTATTTGTGAATAGTCAAGCACGCTGTCCTATCGATAAAGAATTTTATTAGAAACATACATTTAGTCCCGGTAGAGTATGATAAGACATTCTTTGATACCTTATTGACGCACGCTGGACGCATGGTGATAGCAAGAACTAACTTCTGAGAACTATGTGCTTAGAGAAAGGTATTACAGGTAACAAAATATATTGATGAACATATAATTTTACCTGACAGACAATACTGAATGCAGCCTCTGACTTTTCCACGATCCGTATAAACTCTGACCTGTCTGCTCGATTTGCAGTTATTCTGTCGTATTCTTCTTTCTCAATAAGTTTCTCATTTCTAAACAATCGACTAAAAACAAGATTAAGACGGTAATTTCTTGCTTAGCTATAATATCGTGTTTATAGATAACACGGGGGAGAATCACGCCGTCCGTTACCCAAACAAACAAGATTGCGAATGCAGACGAAAAGAAAGTTTTTCCCTTTTTTCTGAAATTCGTGATGTTCTAGCGTAAAGTACATTTAATAACCTTCTTCACAATTTATCGGGCCCACAAGATTTTATTTCGTGATGTTATGTCCCGTACTTCTTCTGAAATATGCGTCACCAGATTCGAAGCGAGAGAATTTTCCACCGGTTTTAACGTGGTAACGTACGGCTTCTTCTATAAAATTCACTGTTTCTTTTACATATATGTATATTAACTGAAACCTCTGACTTTAAAAAGTTGTAATATGCCATCATCTAAGCATTCATTCCTGCCCATGCTGGGTAAAATTACCGCTGTAAATATCGAGTGAGACTAAATAAAGTTTCTTTTTAAAAGGAAAGGCTTGCCCATTGTGCCATCATCCCATCCCTTTAAAAAATGATTTTTTTTGAAAAACCTCCTAAATCAACTCTTTATGATGAAGAAATAATTTTAAAAAAAAATAAATTGACCTTATATACCAGTAAAAAACAAGGTACCTATGTTTTTACAGGTATAGAGGGTCAATTTATTATCACTATTTTTCTTAAATTATTTGTATATCATAAAGGGTTTATAAAGGATTTTTATTTCGAAAAAAAAAGGTTCATTTTTAAAGGGGTAGGTAGTGTAACCCCAAGAATGGACAAGCACCTGTGCCCATTTGTGCCACTAGTGTTATGCATGTAAATTTGGACAAAAGTAGGACCAGAAGTCCACTGATTATAACTGAACCGGAACATGCTGACGATAACAGTAACAACTTTTAATTTGTAAAAACGAATATTTTTTTGGTCAAAAACGATTTAAAATCTACTCTTCTCTATTGTATAAAACTAATAAAGAAAATAACCAATCGTAAAAATACTAACATTGGCTCTCCCACGTGGAGGAAATAAAAGTATCTATCCATCATACTGAAGGGAAACAAGTGTGCACATTTCATTTTTCACTTTTTTCGCAGAAAGAGTCATTAGTTTTTGCAGTTGCTTATTTCATTTAAATAGCTGCTTTATAGACAAGTAAAGCCGCAAGCCAAAAAGGATTGGAGCACCACACTAAATACCGTATTCCGATATATACCGGACACGGCGCTTGAATGATAAAATGCTAAAATCTTGCCTTTTTACCCAACGGAATGAACTTTAATAGGTCTAATTCATCTTTTCACACCGATTTAGGTATGATAATGAATGAAAAATGTAAAAATCAGCGAAAAAAACGACATTTGTCTATTTTGTGACCATGATTTCTGCAAGCGACTAGAGGTACTGCTCCAATCCTGTAATGAGTTAAATTCGTAAATATCAATATCGGGACATTTTCCGGAAACGTATGGCGTACGAAATATCAGTGATAACGTACGGCGCATTTTCCTGCTCGATGGATTTTCTACATATCAGTTTTTGAATAGAAAAGTTATGTTTATCGTTCAGGTCTTTCCAGACATAAGAGGATGTGTAGAACAAAATAAAGAAACTGAATATCATTTAGTGTTTGCATAATAATATCTGTCATGTGTTTTCGTATCGGATCCGATCCGAGAGCACTTGCGCATTGGGCTGTAACGAGAGCCCTTTCACAGGTGCCCGAGGGATTTTTTATCCCATGGAAACGCTGTATTTCTTCAAAATTATGTGTGTTAATTTTCATGGAAGAACAAAAGTCATACTATATCAAATTCCGTTCATAGTCGTCTTCTTTTTTTCGTTTGTAAAAATAGTCATTTGCATAAATTTGCAAATGCTTTTGAATGTTAATTAAGTTAAAATTACGTCAAAAGGTCAACCTACATTAATTTATGGATTTACATGCAGTTCAGAATAAAATCCACGTCTTGCGAAAAAGATCCTCTACATGTAAAAGTAAAAACCAATGCAAAATGTCAATTAATATATTTATTACTACTTAATTAATTTGTCATAATCGCTCCCGTCGAAGTTTCTGATTTCTGTAGAACAGCACGGATGAACACTTACATATGCTTCGTAAATACTATTTTCGTGAAAGCGTAGTAATTTTTACAACCATTCTTTCTTAAAGATAATGACGTCATATGAACGCATTTAAAGGTTTCAGACGGGTTTTCCGGTATAGATAAAACATCGAAATCCAAATCTGATTTGAAACTTTATATTTCATAGTCGGTAAAATGTTTACCACTAGAATTTAATAAGCAAATTTCAATGTCACTCTTTTATTGCTGAAACCTACATTTTTTTTAAAGAAATTGGTTGTTTTTGTGATGGCGTTTATTGAAGAAAAAAAAACTCCAGAATATGATAGACAAATTCATGAATTGCATGTAATTGTTTTGATTCCTTTCATGTAAAATTAGATAAAACAAAAAGCGCCGCAATGCGACGAAAACCAGGTTTTCAACGACCAAGTTTTGATTTGACAGCAATTAATTGGTCAAAATGCACTGAAGTTATTAAGTAGAAGCTGAAAATTATATTGTAAGCAAATGACCTTGACCTCCCAGATATCTAAGTGGCAATCCAAAGCTGCCACACAGCAAGTTTGGTGTCAAAAGGTCAAAGCAAACTCAAGTTATTCCGTGAAAACTGAATACATTAACCTTGATCACAGAAACCTGGGTAGCATTCCAAAGCTGCCTCTTGATATAACATACCCATACACCAAGTGTGGTGTCAATAGGCCAAAGCAAACTCAAGTTATTAAGCAGAAACTGAATTTCTATTTTTAGTATCAGTGACCTTGACCTGGACACTGACACCTGGGTAGCAATCCCAAGCCGCCTCCTGATATAACCTACCCATACAACAAGTTTGGTGTCAATAGGCCAAAGCAAACTCAAGTTATTGAGCAGAAACTGAATTTCTATTTTTAGTATCAGTGACCTTGACCTTGACCACTGACCTGGGTAGAAATCCCACGCTGCCTCTTGATATAAGCTACCTACGCACCACGTTAAGTGTCAATAGGCCAAAGCAAATTAAAGTTATTGAGCGGAAACCGAAAGTTGACCACCGCCGGCCCGCCCGCCTGACCGCCGATTTAGGCATTACAATAACCCGGAAAACTGTATGGCTAGGTCGTGCAAATATCTGGCGTCAAAGTGGCGCAACGTCACGCTAAATGGTAGCGTTTCAGTATTAACCGCCCGTCAAATAAATAGGAATTTTTTTATTTACTAAATTTATTGTACTTTTTCGCATAACACTATTTTTAACTCATTCATAAATTCAATATAGACCCTTTCATTTAAGCGATAACAGTCAGGGAAGAGTTACTTCCCTTACCGGATGTGACGTAAATGGGGGATAAAACTATGCAGGCCGCATAGAATGTTAGCTTATTGGAAAGTTAAATGCGTAAATACTGACCGTTCAATTATGATTATAACATGTAAAAATTTACGCATGCATACATAAATTCAATATCAAGACAATAGAAAAAAAATACAAAAACAAAGTTTGAGATTAATTCTCGCTACGGAGTGAAAAAAAGTGAATATATTTATTAGATCTAGATTTTCTCTAATTAATGCCAGGATAAAAAGCTAGTAACTAAATCAAATTTTTATATTTTAAAACACCCATACACACTGAAATTGCCTATTATAAATTTAAATGGTCATTTTCTAGTTTTCTGTGTTACTTTCTGTCATTTAGAAAATTCCGGCGTGTTTGTGACAAACATGAAAATAAGATTGCCAATGTCTTTTTATGATTGATTTTCAAGCTTTAATAGAACAATAACAGAATGCATTCTGTCAATTCTTACTGATTCTTTTTTATTATGCCGTACAAAAAAAATATTTCAAAGAATCAGTGAAGGATATAATTTTATAAATATTCCGGAAAGAACGAAAACCATGTGGCAATGACTTTTATAATGTAAGATTCGCACCAGACGATAATAAGATAATTTTGAAATTAAAAATCTATGCTTATCATTATAAGAATAAAGACCTTTTCCCCTGTAACTTATTTCATAGATAAATAGATTTAAGCGCCACTGGGCTGTAACATATTAATTAACAGGGTGCATACAAGCGGCACTTGGCTGTAATATCATAAATCACCAGGGTGCATTTTTTAGAGTTATAACATTACATCAGATTACGTCACTTTTGCTAGTTGTCAAAATATTTATGATCCGAATTTTTTTATGGATCATCCTAGGGACTTTATTGGTCATGCCTTACTGATTTACGGAATTCCATAAACGACAGCCTACTGTTTACTGTCAACTGCCTACTGTCAACTGCTTACTGTCAACTGCCTACTGTCAACTGCTTACTTTCAACTGCTTAATGCTTACAGCGACTGTTTAATGCTTACTGTTAATTGATATATGCCTACTGCCACACCTGTCTTATACCCGATTAATTGCCTGAAAGTTAATGTTGACTTTTTATGTCCTTCTTTCAATGTGTTTATATGTTACAATGAGGCCGTTTGAAACAGTATTGGTCAAGGAATTACTCAGTATCATCTATGAAGACTTTGACTGAAACCTTGGAACTTGTTACATTTATACATGTACATGTATAATTCTCGTTTTACTAAGCAGAAAAATAAGTATATATCTTTGCAGGCATCTGGAACTTTTCCAAATCATAGACCTGTGAACTTTATAGAAATGTTAAACTAACCAAATATTGCTGTAACAATTTTTTCTGTCATTAAATCTTGTTCGGTAATTTTGAGCTACCAAAAATAACTGCTTGCTTAATTATTTATACATGTATATCCCTGGTCAAGCTTAGATACATCTACCATATAACATGTGTATTATAATATTTGTTCATTAAATGATATTGACCCTACCCTATAACTATAGAGCTTAATGGAGGCCTTGTAATGTCATGAACGTCTTTGTTTTTACATTTAAATCACAATGGCCAGTT